GAGCTGTTAATTATAGTACGAATGTGACCCCGCGGCGGCTACGCACTATAAATACCGCAGTCTTTGTGCATCTACTACCTTTATCTGCGACCGTCTCTGAAGATGAGCCCGAATGGGAATTCGAAATGTCAGGCCAATAAACATTTTGTTCCAGTGATCACATCCTATTCATCTTCTGAAGCATAGTATTCCTAAGACTGTTCAAGATAAAATATCTAGCAGATAACTGAATTTGAAAACTAGAGTTTGCACGAACAGTGGGCAACTGTTTCTATTAGAGATGGAATTACAAGTCCGCCGAAAAATATTAAATGATTTGTAAAATTTTATTCAGTAAAAAAGAGCGAGGATTTCTTCAACGTTTTCCTGTATAAAATACGCAGGCCCATCGAACCCTTGAAAATATTTCCCCGATGTTTTTGAAGAGATGTAATGGCTTTAAATTTTCATTTTGGGTTATTTTCGTTCCATAAGCGTCAGTGTCTTTTATAGTTTCAATTCAGGACTCTTTTCAGGTAAATTTCTTAGAAGAAGTGGGTAACGCTACTTGCAGGTTTTTAAGTTCTTCAGTCTGTTTGCGGCTTATATGCTCAGACTGAAATTTGATAAGAATATTTGGGCCGAAGTCCATAAACCGCAGCAGAGTAGCCGTGTAATATTCATAAACTGCCAGCAGGCAGTCGGAAGCATATGTGCATAGGTTGCGCGATATATCATACCTGTTAAAATAACCGAAGACATCCAGTCCTCTTTCCTTCGTTGTTGCTTTTTCAGGCACGGACGCAGTATGTGACCCTACGCACGCAACAAAAGCCAGGTCGTCGTTTGATACGGGTTTTATCGGTGGAGCTAAACGGCGGAAAGATGAGCGCCATAGTAGGTAAACATTCGGATAGATGTTTAGGTGGCGTATTGCGTCCTCACAATAAATTTCCCTGCGGCTACCTGCAAAAGGGCACACCTACCAGGAATCTGATCCCTTAGGAATGATAAGGATATCAAGTTATCTGACAGTGCAAGCAAATGTTGGGCATTTTTTGCAGTCCTTTCAGTTTGCCCTCAAAAAAGAAATACAGTGCGTGGGCGATCTCATGAAATGTTAGCCAAAATTCTAGAATGCGTTTCCGATTAGGAAGGATTACTTAAGTGGGGTTGTTATAATGATTGTCATGCAGCATAACCCAAGAACATTTCAGACTCTCCATGGTGTCGGTTTTTGAATGTACTCCATTTTGTCCTTCTGCAGAAACCACACTCTGTACAAAATGACTACTTAAGTGTCATGCATTTTTCCCATTTATTTTTAATGGTCATATCAATTCAAACATATTGTACAGAAAGCATCCACAAAATATGCTTTCTTTTGCTCCGTTGGAAGAAAACCATATTATCTTCATATTTAATGCCCGAAGAAAGTGTATGTTAAGATTAAAAAAAAACTTTTCTCGATTCCCGAATAATTTTCAGCCTGATCTGCCATCGCCTCAGATTTTAGCAATTTCAGTCTACAAGGTGCATGCTTTCCTTGTAAGGAAAATCATATATTCCTCTACACCTTTGAGCAGATACCACATAGAGTTCATGAAATTTTGCAATGGATTAGGACTGTGTTTTACATTTCATGAGGAGCATTAGTAAACGGACATGTGCGGTCTTGCATGCATGGAAATCGCACGGTCTTAAAAATCTCATTATTAGAAACTTTTTTATAATCAAAATATACACTTTCTCCGGACATAAAATATGAAGATAATATGATTTTCTTCCAACTGAGCAAAAGAAAGCATACTTTTTTATAAGACCATCGAAAATCAATAGGAAAAATGCATGTCACTAAAGTGGTCTTTTTTGCCGAGTGTGATTTCTGCAGGAGGTCAAAAAGAAGTGCATTCAAAAACCGACACCATGGAGAGTCTGAAATGTTCTTGGGTTATGCTGCATGACAATCATTATAACAACCCCACTTAAGTAATCCTTCCTAATCGGAAACGCATTCTAGAATTTTGGCTAACATTTCATGAGATCGGTCATGCACTGTAGATTACATTCTATCTAGTTACGAGAGCACGAAAGCTTGAATTATAAAAAAGGCGAGGACGCAATATGCCACGATGACCTGATTTTTGTTCTTTGAGTGGGGTCACATACTGCGCCCTTGTCTCTTTTCAAAGTTCAGACTTAGTGTCTTTCACAGCCCGTCTGAGATCCTTTCGCGGACGTGTCGTGGGGGTTGCCTGCGCGGCTTTCAATACCTGTCCCTTCATTTGTGAGAACAATTCTTATACGTACAGTTGGTCACTGCTCGCGCGCTAATCATATTAGTTAGGCCCCAAACGTTGTAGGTACAGTACGCGACCTGTCTCATGAAACCTGATGACAGAAACTGACATGCGAATTTGCGGTCGTCCTAACTGTCACACATTTTGCTCGCTCGTCCAGCCTTTTCAAGGAAGTGTCCTTTTCTTGCGCAGAAAATCTGCTCACGTAGTTTCGTCAAGCAAAATGCTTATAAATTTGAGCGAAAATGTACGTTACAATATATTCGGTAATTTCCTATGTTAATACTTGTCCTAGACTTTGGTTGAGCATCTGAGTGTGTTTTTCCTTGACAGGAGAGCAATTTACTCTCGAGAGTTTTAGTGAACACAATTACAACCGCTTTTGACGTTTTCGGGATTTTCCGTTTGCCTAAATGCTTGGTCTTTCTAAACAACTTAACATCCAATTTGACATTTCTTTTAAATTTTTAATTCCCTTTAACTTTTACTCATACATATCGCGAAAACTCTCATGGAGCACTTCAGAAGAGCAGTTGGCAAGCATACGCGTGATTTTGATAAATTTTCATTAGGCCTGTATATTCATATGGGAACGAGGTACAAACTGATACGTGTGAACGGTAAGAGAAATCGATCATTAATTAGCACAGATATTGGGTCCACGCATTGGTGTCGGTTTGTGAGTGATTAGCAACCATTCGTAAATTTCGAAATCTCTCACGAGTTAGGTCACCAACTGTATATAAAGTCGAACCGGGACTGATTGATGCGGGATGGTCATGGTAATAATTGTGAAATTTTCGCGGGCATAGTGGGTACGAAGTAGAATTTCGTATTAACGGTTTCATTTGCAGTTGGAGATCTGAGGCGACTAAAAGGACGGCTCACAAACGGAGGGCGGTAAACTGTATGCGTAGCTTCAGTTACAAACTTTGCAGGCTGAGCATATAGCTCAACACATCACTCGGAACACAACTCATTGGCGTTGATGAATTAACGGATCGAGCTTTGATGGGTGTTCAAGGATCCGCGCGCAGTCTGTTGGGTGACTCGTTAAAAAACCTTGTCAAAAAGGACAGAGGCAGATTATGATGTGGCAGCAGGGCCAAAAAATACACTAGGGTAATCGTGCAGAACTAAAATATTCACTTCGACCGCAGGCCCCCCCCCTCAGCATAGTGGGCGCAGGAAGATGACTTCTGCATTGGTTAATTTGTAGTGATAGTAGATTTGCGCAGCATCTACCACACCCGAGCCTCCCTCGCTTAACTGCGTCCGGCGGCCGGGAAAATGTCAGAATAACTGGAGAGAGGTTCAACCGCAGCGACCGACACAGCTACGGGAGCCCATCTACGTGTACATGCACAATGGACCAGGTTTTCTCAGAAACGGGGCGGCCGGGATCCCATCGGAGTGGGAGTGCTATATAAGACCCCGTCAACATGTTCCATACACGACCTGGTTAGGTGTCAGGGTTTGTGTTTGGTGTATGGGCTGACCGGAGAATGTGTGGCGATGAAGGTTTGAACTGCAGGTTTTCATGAAGGCGCGTGTGGCCCAGTAGATCCATACGGTGACGGAATTATCGTGGGCAGTGTGCGTAATTGAGATGGGTGCGGCGGGAGTATGTTAGTGCTCCCCGCACTTTTTCACCCCTCTCAATGCGATGGAGGCGCAAATGCCCAACCAGGTCAATGTGATGTAAAGGTGCGACCGCAATGGGAGCCGCACGAGACTGTGCGCGCGGGGTTGTTGGTGATGGAGGATGTGGTGGGAAGCAGGGTGTCGAGAGGGTTTTCATCGGTGGTGGGGTGAGTAGTAGTTGTCGTGGGGTGGAGGTGGCCGTGAAGGCGTTTTCGGACTCAGTAGGTGAAGATGTCGTGCTGTAGTTGTGTTTCGCGGTTCCTTCGAAACCCATACCGACTTTCCGGTAGGGTTCCTTGTTTCAGGTGGCTGTCGAGGGGATCAATAAGGATGCAGACGAAGATATTCACTTCAGCACTGAAAAGAGATATAGCTCTGCGATTATTGCAGAGTTGCGGTTGTCCTTACGCTTGTGGATTTGGACGACGATGACATCCGTGAAGTCTTGAGGGTCTTGTCCATGCTGCAACATCTTCTGGAACTAAGGAGTAAGTTTGTCCATCGGGCGAGAACCGTCGAGCTTGTAGAATTCGGCTGGCATTGCGCCAAATCCTGGTTCCTTCCCATCGGAGGGTTGGCGCACCGTTTTGGTGATTTCTGGAAGCAAGTGGTGAAGGTCCAGTTTAGTGTTCGTTCCCGTCGGGGAAAGGCTGTGGATAACATCGTCAAGGTTGTGGATAGACGACTGAGGACGGTTCTGAAGTGCTCAGCCCAGCTCTTTAGAATCTGCGATTTTTCCACGTGGAGTGCTGCTGCATCGGAATTGTGTAACGGTACGGTTCCATTGATGCGCGGTCGTATACCGCCATGAGTGAGGCGAAGACATCGTTTATGTCGTTGCGGCCCACGTGATCTTGTATCTCTTCAGCTTTGCTATCCATTGAAACAATTTCAATTCTCCGCAGTTGTTGTTACAGCAGGCGGTTGGCGCAGACTATGTGCAATATGTTCTTCTCACCGTGCAGTTGTCAGATCTCTTCGTCGTCGTCGTCGTCGTTGGACCAGTCCTGATGTTGACAATTTGCGTGACGAGAAAATATCCATGTTTGTGGAATTGAATATGTTCCGTAGTTGAACCTATTGTGTCTCCACGATGGCGTTGTTTTCCGGAGCCTGCATTTCTTTCAGACGGCGGGTCAGTAGATCGCTGAAACCTAAACGACGATTCAACTTATTCTGAATTATGGACGTCCGCGGGTTTGAATTTGTAACCTCATTCTGGAGATGATGAGGCGGTGATCCGTCCAGCCGTCGACATCGCAAATCGTCTTTGTCCCCAGCACGTCGTAGCAGCCCCACCTCCGGATGAGAATATAGTTCAGTAGCTGTCAGCATGGAGAGCAGGAGTGCATTCCCGTTGCCTTCTCCCATGTCGGAAGGTGGAAAAAGGTGCTGGTTACCAGAAGGTTGTGTCTGTGGGAAGAGGCCGTCATTGTTGCAGGCGCCGTTTCGGTGAAAACCCGACACTCCCTCCCAAGCAGCATGGTCTATTTCGACGCCGGCACTGAAGTCACCATGGACAATCAGTTTGTCCGTCTTCGAAGCAGTCACCGAAAAGGCGTGCAGCTCTTCGTCAAATTTGTTCGTCTCGTTGGATCTAGTCTTTGTTGGGGGGAGGGGGTATAGACACTGACGATGGTGGCGAATTTGGTTTTTCGCAGAGGAGGACGTAAGAAACCTGAGACGGCCGTTGATGCCCTGCAGTAGATAAGGATGGCGTCTCACGATGTTATCTTGGATGGCAAAGGCAACGCCAGCATAGTGCCGTTCTGTCTTTAGGCGGTCGCTCCAAAAGGAGGTGTAGCCGGCATCTACCTCCGATTATCGCCTCGTAGAGTACAAGTTCTCGAGTGATCAGCATTACCTTCTTCTCCGGCCGGTTGCTCAGCTTGTTGTCCGACAAAGAACAAACATTCCAAGGGTACCACGATGATCAGAGTCACTCTAGCGACCTGTGAGGCGGGACTGGGGATATAGGGACAGGAAGTTTGGAATATAATCAGGCGTGCGTGAGCACTATCTGTTCATGCGGAGACCACATTACGTTTAACAAAGATGGGTCACGTAATCCACGCATTCCATTTGATTGCAATCAAGGTAAGCGTTTGAGTTGATAACCATACGGCGAGACAGCCTAAAGAAATTCGGCTGACAGGTATTAATTTTACCAAAAACCTACGTTCGGTCGATTCGAAGAACATCAGGCCTGTGAGAAGGTCGAGCACGGTGTGCTACTCGCTGGCAGGGGTCAAAGACGCGAGAAACAGTGTATGTGAGAAAACCTGGTAGCTGTCGACTTCGGGGAAACATCTACCAACTGTCAAGAGCAGCTTTGGAGGATTTTCCCCACGAGATTTACTCTGATCAACATAATCTTCAAGATGCGAACATTTGACTCTAGGTATTGGTAATGTGAAAACCTATCGGTTACCCGTTTATACCCGAATGACGATATTTAGATCAATGGTAATGAAAATGTGACTCGCGGGATGCATTTTAAAGGGGAAAGTGGTGTTCATCAGAAGAAATTTATTTTCAATCGGACATTTCAAGCTGTGATTTCGGTTACCTATCTTTGAATACTGGAGAATCCTATGTATTGCTCTCGCAGTATGGTGTATTTTACCGGATATATACATGGGCCTTCAATTGCGAATGTAAGACGGTCTAATCCCTGTTTCCCCGTGACCCATGTCATCCCAGCCTGGGTTGACTGCGGCGATAACTGGCGGCATTAATTATTTTGCGCTTTTACTGTATCCTTTAAGAAGGTTCATAAAAATTCAAGTGTAATGTGCCATACGATGAGAGCTATGCACGGGACTATCCAGGCTCTGATGGTGGGCAGCCAAAATCGCTACTCGAAACGCCAGACTGCAAACAAACTTCTCGCAGTAGAAAGTTTTTCTTCTTTTAAGTAAGTTTTATATTGAAGTTCCAGTACTACGGTCCAACAAATATGACATCACATTTTTCATGGATATTTTGGCAGATTTTGAATAATTCATATTGATCCAGCTGTTGACATCAAATTTATTTCTTGACTTATTATTTAACGCGTTTTGAGGCAGTGCTACTTGTTCAAGTACTTTTTTCTTGGAAGACCAATGAAATTACACAAGTGAGATAAACGTAATTCCCAGTGTCCATGGCAAACCGACGACAAGATCCAAACAAACAATATTCAATACATTACCAGACATGGAGGAACAAGGCGTTGCTGAAGAACCAATCTAATCACTTTTCCTTCTTAGTTCAGGTCGAAGCCGCTGGATGTAACTTGAGATACTAGAAGTATTCAACAAAGGCTTGCACTGAAATGGATTAGATAAAAATGCTGCTAAACGAGTTAGAATCTGGTTGACTTTTTTAAAAAAACCTCGTTATTTTTTTCTAACTTTATAAACGGGACTAAGTTTGCGATCAAACTGTCATGTAAGGGCATCCACGAACAGCTGGCGGTGCACATGCAGGGTAGTAAGAGTCAAAATTAGCTTCGGTGTCGTCAAGTCATAAATTTAAGTCGGCTTTAACGAGACTTTGGTTTAAAGTTTGCTTTTCGCTAAACGTCTCAATAAAAGATTTGTTCAGCGTTAGAGAAGGATATACATAGCGTCACTTTTTAGCGTTTTTGGTATTCTAAGTGATTTCATAATCCAAATGTCGAAAGAAAATTATTTGTTTTATCTTGTTACATTTTGCATTTACCCTTGCTTGTACAATGAAGGACATGTCGCTTGCGACATTAAGACTACCATGCCCAAGCTTACAGTAGATGTGCTAACTCATGAAATGTCAACCAAAATTTCGAAATGCGTTCTCGTTTCGAAAAGATAAATTAAGTAGTGTTGTAAAACTAATTACGATGCAGCCTAAATCTATAATGATTCAGTTACCTCAGGGTATCGGCTTTCGAAAGAACTTATTTTCGGCTGCATGCAAGATCTATACTCTGCAAAAATGACTACATATGTAGCATGCAATTTTCTCATTGATTTTCGATGCCTTTGAAAATTCAATTATATTTCATAGAAAACATGCATAAAAATATTCATTCTTCTACTGATTTAGTAGAAAATCATGTCTTCCTCCAATTTCATACTCAAAAGAAGAGTATAATTCGGTTTTAAAAAACGTTTCTGATTCCGGAATAATTTTGAACTCGACCTGCTGTTACACGTGCATTCAGGGTTTCAAAATTACAAGCTGTATATTTTCCGTGTACGGAAAACCACGCATTTCTCTACGGTGTTAAAAGGAGACCATATGAGGTTCACAAACTTAAGCAGTAAGTTTGAGCAATATTGTTAACTTTACAAGCCGCATTCGTAAATGCAGATACATAACGTTTCATGAACAGCCATTTCACGGTATTAAAAATCTCACAATCAGGAACTTTTTTAAAACCGAATCATATTCCTCTTTTGAGTATGAAATTGGAAGATGACGTGATTTTCTACTAAATTAGTAAAAAAATGAATATTTTTATGCATGTTTTCCATGAAATATAATTGTATTTTCAAGGGCATCGAAAATCAATGAGAAAATTGCATATTACATAAGTAGTCATTTTTGCATGCAGCCGAAAATAAGTTCTTTCGAAAGCCGACACCCTGAGGTAACTGGATCATTATAGATTTATGCTGCATCATGATTAGTTTTACAACATTACTTAATTTATCTTTTCGAAACGAGAACGCATTTCGAAATTTTGGTTGACATTTCATGAGTTCATTGATAATTTGGCAAATTTTGAATAATTCATATTGATCATATTCATATGATCCTATAGAGTAAAAAAGTTAATCGCTTGCCTGATCAATATAAACAAATTACAACGTCAACATCAGCCTTTGGATTGTAGCCTCACATTTCTGTGGTAAGGTTTCCCCTTCAACAGGCCGGCACGATTCTTTTTGACTTTCAGTGAAAGTCTGTTATGCTAATAAAAGTTGCACTGCACACGGCGAAAACGGCCACTAGTTTGACAGGACGGCAAATCTTTAGTCAGTGAAGAGGAACTGGCTCTCACTAACAGCGTCCCAAACTGTATTCCGATCACGAAAAAACGGCGTCTGTAAGGACGGAGCTCGAAAAAATAACAACAAACTGGTTTTAACCATTCAATAATTAAAACTTGAAGATGGCGGCGACAGAACTTTTAAACCCAACCATATTTAGGCAATGTTTGAATTTTCACGTTTGACGGGTTTAAGTTCTGAAGTGCGTGGTTTTGCTGCCGGACTGCAGCCGTGGTTACCTGTAAAGGACACTTTTCTTCAACTTACGGTGAAGCAAATATCCAAAGTAAGTTAGCTGGCTTTTTAAGATATCTCTATGTTCAATATAATCAACCGGTCTTCTGCAAAACTCAAGAGTTGTTGCTTTAGAGAGCTCTTTTTTGGGCATGTGTGTACTTTTGTCAATTTCTTTTTAAGTGCGTCTTCTTTTGCCTAATTTGGAGACTTTATACTGACTTACTTGCTGCAAGCCATTTTCTTCTGGTTTTTACGATCCTCTACAATTTGCATATAAAGTCAACCGTAGTACTTTAGATGCTGTTGCTCTTGTGGTCCACTTTGTCCTAAAAGAATTAGATAAGGGTTGCCGCGAGTGCGCATGTGCCTTTCTTGACTAGTCCATCGCCTTCAATACCGTCCCGCGCCCTCTTTTCCTTACTAAAATCTCCGCGTGCGGCTCTCCAGGCTGGGCCGTCTCTTGGCTTAGCGATTATTTTACCTTCCGCATTCAATTTGTCCAATCTGGCAAGCGGAAATCTTCGATCCTTCCCAATGACTGCGGTAATCTTCAAGGTTCCGTTCTATCCCCTCACCTTTTCTCCTTCCACACTGACGATCTAAGGTTCCCTAATGACTGTCTTTTGGTCAAGTATGCTGATGAGGTGGTTGTTTCTGACGCGCAATCTTACGTGTGAAGTGATAGAAATACAGAAGTTAGGACTTGAGCTGTCCCCATAAAAATCTTCCTTTTTGCATTTTTTTGTTTGACCCTTGAATAATCTATTAATTTGCTTGCTGCCAATAGTAAATGGAGCCAATTATTGCTGAGGATTCTGAATTTGTGATTTCGAAATAAAGCAACTTCTTCTCTCGCTGTCTAACCTCACAAGATTTTAAAGGATAGGTTTTGTTTAACCTTGAGACTATACTTTACGAAAATTTCAGCTTGGGTCTTGTGTCCCTCTGTCCTCAAGTTCTCAAAATCGACTTAGAATACCTCTTCTGCCGTATTAGAAAGTTGTGGAAACAGGTAGATGATTATCGAAATGATTACTGCTTCACTTCAAGCCTGAAAATTTTGAAGAAACGCCCATCCAATCTCAACTTCATACCTTTACTGCCTTACAGACTTCTAATTTGATGAATGATTTACTCATATGAGGATTTATTGACTAGACAAGTGACGACACGAAAACACATTGTTGTTTCCAATTTTGTCTGGAAACTGGAAAATCAATGCCGATTTCTTGATTCCAGGTAAATTAAGGCGTCTGAAACTCTAGATTTTAATGCTCAGACATGTTTTTAAGATTGAAAAAGGTCAGAGCCGATAACGTTATCCCGTGAGGGCTTAGTAACGTGTTGAAATTACCACCCTCAGAAAACCTACGAAGACTATACCCAAGCTTTTGCCAATCCTGATTTTGAATATTCATCATGGATCACTTTTAGAGATTGGCCTTACCGAAGGTTCTCACCAGAACTGCAGTTTGGGGATAATTAATAAGGGTTTTTTTAAAGTATCTGAACACTAATTTTCAGATTTTTGTGAAAAATGCAGAAGGGGCAGACTTAAAGCTTGTAAACATTGAAAATGAAAGGTTCTACCTTTCTTTATGAC